ATATATATATATGGTATTCATATATATATATATATGGTATTCATATATATATATATATGGTATTCATATATATATATATGGTATTCACCTGTGAAACGACTGTGAAAGTCAGACTCACAGACTCACACTATACAGAAGCCTGATGATGGCAGATGAGATTCTAACAGTGTAATTCAAAACAGAATTAAATAGAATTTGTTTTTCCTACCATTGGCAGAAATAACACTAAATAGCTATTTTCAATTCTAAATGTCTGGGAAACAGAAGATAAATGTAATATTTAGAAAAATGCCATAATTGGAATAAAGCCTCCCTAAATGCATTAATGGCTTTATGTTGTGTAAAGGATATTCCCTCTTAGGAAACATTGGCTTAAGTGAGAAAACTGTTTATTTAAACTAAGATTCTCTATGCATGAAAAAAAAGTTTTATTGTCTGGATATTTATCCCCTTAATGGAACAAAATCGTTTTATTAAGTTGTACAGCAGGTTTTCCTAAATTCTCTGGTACCCTCCACATACATACATGATATCACATAGTTCATGCTCTAAGTGTAGAAAAACTGGTTGAATGCCTCTATTTCCAAGTGTATATATTAAGATGAGTCAAATGTTGCATTATTTTTAATGTAAACAGAGAGACCTCTTTATTTGAAAGGCCTGTAAATGGAAAAAATGGTAATGAATGGTTAATCATCCCATCATTTTTCCCTTGCTCCTCTTTTCTAAAAAGCACTGTTCTATATTACATATATGTGCATTTAATATTTAAGTAATCTTATTTAGTGATACAAAAAAATTTCTATAAGGAAATTCATATAATCTCAGTGATAACAATCACTTCTTTACTCTGGTTGTTGTTACTACAATTTTGAACAAACAAATTAATAGATATAAATGCTTTTAGTTTCATTTGATAAATTAAAAAAAAACAGGTTGGGATCAACTATGGAATGTGTGACAATGTCTAGCCACCAATTTGGCTTTATAGGGATAATTAAAAGCATATCAATCCAAACTGAAAGGGTTCTCATTAGTGCTGATACAACCAAGTTATAAGATAAAAACTTGGAATTGAGATACCATCTGGTATAGATTCACATAAAATGCTACAAATAAATTGGACTGATTTTGAAATGTCTTCCTGGCACAAATGACCTTTTATTTAAAAAAAAACCTGTTGCACATTTATGAAAACAATCTGTTTCTTAGAACCTGTAATGTTTCATTATGACACATCTTCAGAATTTGCTATTTTCTTATCATTGCAGTATTCAATGAACTCAATGAAAGAAGCATTTTCAGAAATTTAAGAAGTGGAAAAATATACTGCACCCATGATAGAAAAAAAGTTTTAAAATAATTTACATTAGTAATTTTTAGTTTTATTTTTTTACTGGTGTGATACTGTACTTCTAGTCCAAACAGGCGGGAAATAAAATGTTGTCAATACACAAAAATAAAGGTAAAATGTAGTCTTTATATCTTTTTTAAAAAAATCTCAGAACATGTTGAGGTTATAGACATGGCCATTGAAGTGAATATCTGTAGAAAATTACTTTTGTAAATAAAATGCCTCTTAAGTGGTTTCATCTAAATAAATGTTCAGAATAATTTAATAAATTATGAAAATATTTAATCCTGTTTTTCGTCTTGCTTTCTTAGTTGTGAATTAAAAACATGTTCTATATGAATTATTGATTTAAGCAGTGGCATGTATTAGCTCTCAGTATTTCTCAGACATTTTGTTAGGTAAGGTGTTATGAATTGAGTCCATGAGTCCTTATAGAAGATGCAATATAGCAGGATGTGAACTTTTTTCAATGGCCCATTGTCCACAGGAGCACAGTTTCAGTTCATATGGTATTTTTCAATATCGGCCTTCCAACACTGCTGTGGGAAGTGTGTTGCAGCGCACCAAGGTTAATGCCCGTTGGATCTGTGGGATGGTTATTTGATACAAATATCTCAAATATCTTTAAAAGACCCTTTGAGAGCTGTAGGCAACAAAATTTCATTTTAATATATGCTGATTAGTATACATTCTAAAGTTGTTCTAAGTGTAAGTCTAAAAGGGAGATTATTAATATGTTATATATTCAGCTCTTTAAATAAGAATTTGACGTACAACTCCAAATTCTGTAGTATCAAATTGAGAAATACTTATTAAGAAACTATCACTGTCCAATTTCAATCTGGAGAGAAGACCAGGAGGGAAAGAACAAAACCATATGGAAGCATATGGAAAATGGTTGTTAAAACAGGAAACTGTTTCAAAGATGCACAGATCTGTATCTGGCCTAATACTACTGGATGGGCTAAAACTGCCTCCAGACATATTTAAGATAACATAGAAGACATTAGAAAGAAACTTCCCATTTGACAGCTATTCTTTGTACATACAATTGATGGATGAATATAGTTTTTTTAATACCAAAATGAAGGGGTTTTTTGGCCTATGTTTTAAATTATTAATAGCTCTTCTAAACTCTATTTTATGACCTGCCTTAGAGATTCTTGGATTTGAAAAACAAGATAAGAAAATAAATTAAAAATAAATTTATATTTACTAAATTTGTATTCCATTAGTAAAAGGAGAACAAGACATGTGCATTTTAAAGTTTGCTATTTTGATAAGTTTTTAATGGGAGATTTTTTTTACAGTAAAACTAAACTAAACAAGAAAGATAAACACAATGAAATTCTAAACCCAAACTTTATCTTTTCCTTACCTTGTATGACAGCACTTTCTTGAACTGATGGCTATAACAGAAAAGAAGATCTTATTTTAAATGCTAAACAAATTTTTAATCAAGTGATTATGTTGTTGCACCTATAGTAATATAAGAGAGAAGCACCCAAAACATGTTTTATTTAGTATACTATCCTTTAAAAATGGATCCGTAGTTCAGTTTGTTTTTAACTATGTTGCACTCTTAAAAACTTAGATTGGAAATATTCCTGAAAAAACAAGAATACTTTAGAATAGTTACACATATTGCCTTATCTCTCCATAGCTATACATACATGATAACATCTGCAAAAATACATTCCCCAAAAATTGCAACAGAAGAGTCTGGAGAGGAAAATTAGAAAACCAAAGTGAAATGGTTGGCTATGCAAATGGTGTTGACAGGAAAAAATGGTTTGGGGGGGACCATAATCTGAATTATCTAAATAATGGACTGTTGGCATAAGGCCTAACAACTTTCAAGATGTGGTAAAAAATTACGTTGAATACATGTTTGATTAGAAGGGCTTTAAAACAGAATCCTTGGGTGAGATGGGTTAAAAATGTGAATATTTCTAGCTCAGTTAAATATGTATGTGCTGTAGAAGAAACAGAAGCAGTAAAGTGTTCACTCCTGTGTACAAATCCAAGTGAATCAACATGGCAATGCTATGGAGACCATCTTGATTAAAATAAGTGGAGGAATAAATATGCTTAGAGGATTCTGCAAAGCACCATGAAGCGATATATAAGTCTATTGTTATTCTTCTTTTGGGTATCTCCAAACGTCTGTTGATTCAAAGAGAAAATGTGAACAACTTCTTTTAAAATAAATCTCAAATCTTTTAAAGAATAATAATAGGATTTCAACCATCCAGACATCTGTTGGGAGACTATGTTCATTCCAGAAGTTTCTTTACTTGTCTTAGTAACAGATTTTTTTTTCTTCAGAGGGAAGAAGCACTTTCCAAGTTCATACCAACCAATAAAAATTTTTCAGGAAATAAAAGTAGGAGAACATGGAAGAAAATGACCGTGTAATGTTGGGGTTCTTAATTTTAAGGGAAATTAAAGCTTAATATGATCAAATAGGAAATATCTCAGTAGTAACACTACACGTGGAAAACATTTTCAAATAGTAGTTGCAAAGAAATGAAGTGTAAATGAGGAGTGTGACATGACTGAAAGAAAAAGGGCAATGTAGTTTTATGCTGCCTCAACAGAAGATAATTTCCAAATAGCAGGAAGGAATATTCTGCCATATTATACACTGGTCCAACCACACTTTAAATATTGTACCTAGTTCTAGGCATCACACTTGAAGAAAGAACGAGAAGGAATGATCAGAGGATCTCCTAAGCCTCCTACGAAATTTAGAAGAAATTAGTCTTGTATAGCTTTGAGAGGACAATGGAAGGATGGCGTGCACTCTTTGTACACATGAAAATACATCACAAAGAGAGACAAGGATCTGTTGGTTCTGATTGCAGGACCCAGATGAACAGATTTAAGTTACCAGAAGGTAGAATCCAACTGAAAGTTAGAAAAAAGTTTTTTTTTCCAAAAATAAGACCAGTGAGCTACACTGGATTTCTTCAAGTGGAAGTCAGATAGACATTTATTGGGATGCTTCAACTGAGATTTCACCACTGAGTTGGGGTTCTGTGAGTTGGGACTGTGTATTGCTTTTCTACACACCACACCACTAGTAACTTGTATTTTTCTTAAGTAAAAACAAGCTGAAATACTTTGATATAATTTGTAAGCAACTTTAAACGTTTTAAAATGCCAGCTGCTAAACATAATGCTTGGATTTTCTGTTTTCTCTATTATGTGAGAAAGCTTTACCCGCGTACCCAAAATGCAGTTTCAGATGTTTGATAAAATGGTATACATTTTAACATATTGGAAAAGCAACTGACCTTTGTGGAAATGCAAATTTGGATGTATTCTGTATGAAACCGTAACAGCAAGGAGAGATAACAAATGCTGCACCAACTTTGACACAGTGTTCAATGACCATGTCTGTTGCCACTCCACAAGCATGCAATGCCACCTGAAAAAAACCCCAAATATTTATTTTATTTGTTCAATTTCTATGGCCTCTCATCTCAATAATGACTCATATGAGTGGAATATACTGCCCCACTAGCAAACGTCCATGAAAAGCTTTCTATTTATATTCCACAAAGTTAGAGGGTACACTGAGCATATTGGAGCGTGCATGAATCAGAGAGGGAAGAGTCCCACAGTGTCAGTGATAAATGTTTTCATGAATGAAAGCATATAAAGAATACTGCTCATTAAGGAACCAATCATTCCCATGTCATTTTCTCAGCAGCTGAGTTATCTACTGGAACATCGGCTCTCATTAATTGTGTTTTTATTAGTCATACTCAGATTAGAAAAAATGTTATAGAAGTTGACATGAGAATGAATGTCAACATGTACTCAAATTAAATAATGAGAGTAATCAAGCCAACATGGAGCAATTGCTATTCCAACCATTGACCAAAATTCTACAAATTTAGCAAAATAAAGCTATTTCCTCAAACCTGTTTAGACTTAGGCTTAGATTTGGTTGGTAACATAAGATATCATGAACCTCCTCCCCCTCCCCCTGAAGTGTATACTGCACTTTTGTACTTTACAAGTTATGTTTCATCTAATTTGTAAGAAAAGAATTTCCTAATGGTAGTTCTTGAGTACATTATTATTGGGACCAGAATCGCTTTTGCTAAGCAGGGCAACGTTGTATGACTGCATCACTTAGCATGGTTTTAAATGGTTTTAATCTGCTTTAATAGCTCTTTAGCTACCAAAGGCAGCAGAGATATAGCTCTATACAATGAGCATAATGTTGGAGAATCAATAATTTCATAGCAATTCCTTTCTGAATTTTGAATTTAAAAGTTTGAAATTTCTCAATTGTCCAAGTTTAACAAAATTAAAACTCCAGGGTATTTTGGAAATGTGTAAGTTTCTATAAATTTCCCTAAATATACAGTGTTTTAAGAGAGTATCTATAGTTTTCAAGTACAAACAAGGTCATAGTTACAATACCAAAATAGCTTACCCCAATATTAAAACTTCCTTTAAAATTGTCCATATTTGCTTGGATGAACCAAATATTATGTAATCCTAATTCATCACTTCTTTTTTCAGCACATATGAGTGACTGTTCTTTATTTTCTACCAAAATTATCTACATTAAAAAAGAAAAAATAATAATCTTGGTCAATTTTTGGATTAAAAAAGCAACACGTATATATTTACAATCAAAAGACTGAAGCGCTTGCACAAACTTTCCTTGAACAGAAATGTTTCCATTATAAACATAAGCGAAAGACAATTAATCTTGACCTGAAATAGTTCTTTTAAAAATGCATTGTTCTGGGCATGTCACAAAAATCAGATACATCATTTAACTAAAATCTCACTGTTTTCATAGTGAAAAATTGTACTAATTCTAAATAATGGATTTTCTAACCTAATACTGATACAGCAATATATCTATAATGGTGGCCCCTCCAGTTCAAAAAGGACAGTGTGTTTCCTAAGGTTAAAGGGCTAAGGAATATTCTAGTTGCAGTTCTCAGAACTCAGAATTTATTCTTGTGTGCAGTTATTATTCTGCAGTGCATCCAAAACCATTGTAATAAACACAGTATAAGTGCCAAACCTCCAAAGGTTTTATCCGGTTAGTTTATAAAAATAAAGGGTAGATGTTTGCTAGTTACTATATATACTGTCTTTCATATCAAACATCCATGACCACATTAATACCAGATGGTCTCAGTTAAGATCTATTTCACATTTTGCAGAACTTTGCGACTGCAGTTCCCAAAATAATTTGTAAGCAGGCCTCTTTGGTTCATTGTCAAGCATTTGGAAAGAAGCTGTTTTTTTCAAGTTCACTTGCAGGCTTCGTTGTGTTGAAATGATCAGCATAAATTTCCAAGGGAAAATCTCTCTGAGGCTCAACACAGAGTCATATCGTTCATATAGAAGCGGCACAATTCTGTGAACTAGTAACTAAATCATACTATTTCTCAGATAACACTTCTATATTTTAGGATATTGAATAACAACAGAGATTTATATTTTTAAAAAACTGAGGGTTTTTTTTTACAGTGTTACAAAACTATTACATGCTTTCCATTACGGTAAAAGTTTTTAAAAAATTAAACTGGAATCAAGATTTCCAGTTTGCCAACAGGTTTGAGATTATGTAAAGTTCTGGAATGGACTAGGCTATAAGCTAAAGTATATTCAGGCAATTGCTTTAGCTTTTTTATTAGATTTATATAAATTTATGTAAAAGTTTTACAAAGTATCATGTAGGACAGGGGTCTCCAACCTTGGCAACTTTAAGCCTGGAGGACTTCAACTCCCAGAATTCCCCAGCCAGCAAAGCTGGCTGGGGAATTATGGGAGTTGAAGTCCTCCAGGCTTAAAGCTGCCAAGGTTGGAGATCCCTGATGTAGGATACACAATGATTTGAAGCTGTACTAATAGCAAATTAGAATGTATCAGAGAAAGGTCCAACTTAAATTTAATAAAGCACAACATAAAGGAAGGACACTGATACATTGGGCCACTTCCCAAGTCAAGATGTTAAAGGGCACAAAAGGAAAAAACAACAACAACTAATGTCCCAAAGCTGCTCCTCCAAAAGGCAACTGGACTTTCATGGTTTTTTTCCCCCCCTGAAAGCATTTCACTTTTCATCAAAGAAGCTTCTTCAGTTCTCGGTGAGAAGTGAAACATTTTCAAGGAGAAAAAAAAAAAACCAAGAAAGTCCAATTGCCATATGGAAAAACACCTTTGGGACAACCATGACCTTTGGATAATTGAGAATCTCCAGACTTTTATAAGTAAGGTTTTAAAGCAATGGGTTTATCCTGCCCTCCTTCTCCAAAAAAAAAAAAAAGGACAACACTATGAGGAGACTTGACATCTGCACTAAAGTATATGAAGAGGCACCCTTAAAAAACAACTTGGCAGAATGTCTCCAAAAGGCAAGACAATAAACAATTCATTAAAATTACAACCAAAATGTGGATGCTCTCTAAACTCAGTTGCTTGCCCGCAGGTGTTTCACTACCCAACTAGGTAACATCATCAGTGCTATGGCATGTTCTGCCAGTGTTGTTGGAATTGTGTGGTTTTCTTCTCGGTAGTTCCTTGACAAATGCAGCAGAGCAGCAGTATTTTGTTATGCATATTGTATTTACATAGAGTCATAGATTGTTGCACCAGGTTGTGAGAGGACTGATCTCCAGTTTTATTAGAGAATCTTCTGAGCTTGTTCTAATATTGCTAATTAATTATTAAATTGATATCTTCCCACAATCAGCTGATCACTTATGGATAAAATCTTGTCATATTTAGGCTAACCTAAATGTTACCTTTGGTTTGGTCCTCCATATACTAATTTTGTTCTTTTTTACTCACTATCTATAGGAATTACTTTAAATGGGAACCATGAAGAAGTGTAAAAATATGTGTGGTCACAAACATAATTATTTTGTTATTTTTTAAAAATATAGAAAGATGGAATTTTCTTCATAGTATGATGACTTTTTTTTAGAAATAATGTTCTACAAACTTGGAGAATATTATTGTTGAAGGACATACATTATGATCAGTTATAAAAGATTATACAGAAAAAAGTGACTAGGTACTTGAAAACATATTACTGTATATAAGCAGCCCTTACCTAATAGCATATTTCAAATTTTGAATTAGCAATATTTATTTTATTGGTACTTTACCTGGCATAGTGGTAATATATAACCAAGAACAATTCCAACATGGCCCTGTTCAAGACAAAAAATGAAGAAGTAAATCTTAATTTTATACAGCCACTATTTTACAATTGGGCGTGTGCTTGAAATAGAAAATATGCTTTATTTTGAACTTGGAAGAAATTAACACTACAGAAGTTCCAGAAGAATTTTTGATTAGCCATGGTTCGTCATAAAAAAATAATCTGGAATGTTCTGGTTATTTAAGGAAACAAAATCTGGAGGGATCCCAAAGTGATTTTACAGGATAAGTAAGGTAAGGTTGGTGTGCCTGGGACTTCTTCCTCTCCACACATCATCTTACTCTGGACTCCAAACCTTCTTCTCTTTCTTCCCCCAGACACCTGCAGTGCCTATATATTGGCCTGTGCACTTGTTCCTTCTGGCAATGATTTTTACTGTATATTTTCATATCACTTCTGCTCTAAATCTCAGAACAATCTCTGTCTCTGGAAAAAAAATAACACTTTTGCTCCATGTATGGATCAAGAGATGTATGCTTCAGCTTGGGCACAGAGTGGTACGGGTATGGAACATTTCGCATATCCTTATATGCAATATATTGCAACAAAATATCGATGCAGACATGAACCACTAATTAGTTTGCCTGTCTTGTAGGTTGGTGGTATGCTTGTATATGTGTATATGTGAAAAGTAATTGAGATTGCATTTTATACTACATTACCCCACCACTGCAAAAATCCACAATTACATCTCCAGGTTTAGCCAGTTTTGTCACTAAAGCAATTAGATTATTCAGTTGCTGCTGTTTCCTCAAAGCACGATCAGCAGACATCTTTCCTAAGAATGAGAAAAAGAAATATAAATTGACTGAGAAAAAAATGGTTCCTTTTTAGAATGAATTATTTAACCACTTATTCTGATTTGCAATTGATTTATTTTTTAAAGTTTAGCAGGAGTAGTTCGGATTTCATAGGGTCGAAAAAGGAGAAAAGAATAAACTTGCTGGAAATGGCTTGTACTACAAGTCAGCTTTCCAAGTAAGCTTAAGTTCTGTTGATTTCTCTGACATATCCGTGTAATTTTCTTTGCCAAAACAAAAGTAGTTTGCTACTGCATTGTTCCAAGATATCTACTGATTCCCAGTCTGCTCTACATCCTTCTGTAGAATCCCTACACAAGTTCTAAGTGTGATCCCGATTAGCATTTTGAGATCCAGTAAAGTTGACAGAACTTCCTTCTCTCTACTACCCTGGTTTCATCTGACAATATAATCTGAATAATTGGCACACAAATAAGTTTATTTATGTGCTTTCGGTTTACTAAGGATTAAATGTCAGCCTCTGCTATTGTTGGTTCCTTATGCAACATTCAGAAAATGCACTACATGGCAGATTACAATATTTTCTATTTCATTTTTAAAAATAAATGTTTGTTCATCAAAATTAAGGTCCAGTTCACTTTGATTTCTTTTATTCAAGAAACCCACAATTAACAAGAAAACCAGAAATTATTTATCTCCAGCAGAGCTCGCACTCTACATAAGTTCTTTTTAATAGAAGCCAGGTTTTAGCTGTATCAAGGTTTGCATGAAGCACATAGTCTACACTTAATTATAAAAGTAATCCTCAAATTACTATCACAATTGAGCCCAAAATGTATGTTGCTAAGGAAAACATTTAAGTGAGTTTTGTCCCATTTTACGACCTTTCTTGCCACAGTTGTCAAATGAATCGCTGCAGCTGTTAAGCAAGCAATATGGTTGTTAAATGAATCTGGCTTCCCTATTGACTTTGCTTGTCAGAAGGTCACAAAAGGGGATCACATGACCCCAGGACACAGCAACAGTCATAAGTATGAACCAGTTGCCAAGTGTCTGAATTTTGATCACTTGACCCTGGGGATGCTGCAATGGTCGTAAAATGTGAAGAACGGTTCTAAATCACTTTTTTGGTGCCATTATAACTTTGGTTTTGGTTTTTTTGCAATACATTTTTATTGTTTTCCACCACTACAAATCTTAGTTATATTTTTCAACAGCTTTTGATCAACATATATTATCATACATTTCCATCATTAATTCGTACATATCATTGATATATATTTCCTTTACTTGAAGTTATTATTGTTATTCATTTGTCTATCTGTTTACATATTGCATATCACTCTCTTGAGGTTCTCTTATAGTCATCTTTTCTAATTCTTATCTCTTTTTTCTAGCCACAAGTACCATCTATGCCAAACTGAGTAATATATATACTATTATCTTACATTTCTATTATCTATTCATACAAATCATTAATACATATTACCTTTATTTACAGTTGCTATCTTTATTCATCTTTAACCCTTTTGTCTATTAATTTATACATTATATATCACTCTCTTTAGAATTTTCTTATATTCATCCTTTCTAATTCTTATCTCTCTTTTTTAGCCACATGTACCATCTATGCCAAACTGAGTAGTATTCAGATTCTTCTTTTTCTCTTATTTTTAGTGTGAGCATATCCATTTCAGCACAGTCTATTTTTTGTAAAATTAATTCTTCTGTTGGGACCATATGCTCTTTCCACACTTGCACATAGGCTATTCTAATAGCCTAATTAATATTCATAAATCAAAATGATTGATGGCTCTTTCAAGACTTTTAGTGCCAGAGAAAAAAATTACCACAAAAGCAGAGACCTTTAATGGCATTTTGAACTTCTCTCTTTCTCTCTCTCTCTTTCCCTCCCTCCCTCCCTCTGCAGAGAGTACACAAGCAACAATATTATATACTAAGTAATTAAAATGTGGAATGGCTATTGTAGTAGTTTAAAAGTTCTGCTTTTCGCTATTCATAAGATTGTAAATAGAATACATATTTATTCTAACAATGTAGAATATATACACATTACTTATATTTCCAAATGGCAGCTACATTTTATCTCGATAGTTTTATAAATGTTTTAACATTCAGGTGGATTTGCAGAAAACATGACAAAGTGGAATGCAGCACAATATCTAAGGCAAGTTGCACACGCACATGGGAGCTCAGGTGCTGGGGATTCGAAACGCTGACAAGCTCAGCGTCTTAGCTACTGAGCCACCACGTCCCCCTTCTGGACCATGGAGGTTTTTAAATAGGTTCAGTCTGTTTTCTAACTACTTTTCAAGGCACTAACCTAAACCGGGTTGCTAAACGTTAACTGTCTGTATTTAAATTAATAGTACATTCTGTTCTTTTAGATATTAGAACAACATGAATTACAAAACAAAGTAACTAAATTTTGGAAGTTTAGGGTATCTGGTTAGTTTAATATTCAATTTACATACTAAAATAAAGAGCTAAATTTGATATTTTTTTATCTTTTTATAGTCTAAACTAGACAAGATACTGATAATCCCACTGATTTGGTCTGTAGACCTATTTCATATCAGCATACAATGCAACAGACATTTTAATGTTTTCTCTAATGCTATTTCTAAATAAAAAATCCACTCCTTGAAGCTGTTTTTGGTAAACTTACAGTTTTGGAAACAAGCAAAAACAACGTACTTAGGCTTCTAGATCATTCTATTTTAAGCACCGTAGCATTTAATCCTGCTAATACTTGAATAGCTAATATGAAAGAGAGAATCAAGCTTGCCAACTATGATATTACTTTGTGAACTTTTGCTGCTGTGCTTATGAATTTAAAAAAAACAGCAGGAAGTTGTGTGAATACTATGAATACAATATGCCAAGAGATTTCATTCTCCTTAAAAGAGGTAGACATGAATATACTGGTTAAGTATAACTGGAGTTATATCAAGGATTCAACTAGGTATTGATAATTATCCTGTATTGCATTGCTATATTTGAAAGATTATAAGGCTGAACTGCATTTGGGTAGATCCAGATACTTGCTTTCTCCAGTGCATGTGTTCTGAGGAACTGCTGTTACCTTACTTTAATGAAACCTTAACAATAATAACAAAACAATAATCCAAATAAATGCAGCATACATCAAGCTTCTATGCCCAGTTGATAATGTTTAACAAAGGATGAGGTCAAACCCAAATGGCAGCTTTCAAGATGTCATGTAACAACAACTGGAAACAATAAAGGACTGACTGGCCTGCGGTGCCTCTGCCAGTGAAAATGGAGCTCAGGAGAACCACATGCGGCCCTCCGAAACTCTGTTTTCACTGGCAGAGGATTGCAGGAGGCTGTCCCAGTCGAAAACGGAGATTGGGAGCCCGTTTTTGCTGGCAGAGTGCTTGGGCCACCACAGACCCCCACCCCTGACATGAGTGACATCAAGGTGGCCTGGCCAAGCCCCCCAAGGTCAAACCCTGGTGCAGCCCTCAATGAAATCAAGTTTGACAACCCTGCACTATTGTATCAGAAACAGACAATTGGATAATAGAAGATTCTGTAAATATTTAATTCAACCAATATATTATATGCTGTGGTAAAATTGATTAGCCTTTCTTAGGCATGCCATGACAAAGATGCCAAGACTCTAACCTTAACCCTAATTCTAAGTTGGAAACAACTTTAGCAGAAAGTTGAGTAGCCTCAAGTCCACTTTCTCTTTTCTGATAAACTCCAAGCTGGAGAAATTGGGATACGAGGTAGACATTTTGCAAACCTTTTTAAAAAGTGTGGAGGAAAGGAATGGATAAAGCAGTAGACTGTTCCATAAGAGCATAAAATGTAATTGCTAAAAGGTAAATTGAAATGGATAAAGAATTAATTTATGAGAATCGTGAATGGAAATCTTTTATTTCACATGAAGTCTGTGAAAAGTTTCCAGCTGGCATCATCAATGGACTGAGTTTTAATTTAGTTTCAGTCATAAATTTCCAAAATATCATTTATGAAAATATAGGAACTTGGATCTCCCTGCTGTCAAATATAGGGAAGAGTGCTTCATAATATCCTTATTCCCAATAGACTATGTGAGAATGGGACTGATTGAATAATTATATTATAACTTATAAACCAGAGAAAAGTATGGTTCTGGATCATCATGAGTTACCATAACATGTCTTGACCTTACAAGCCAGTTTTATAAAGTCCTGGAAATGAATAGAAGAGTCTTACAAATAATTCTCTTTCAATAAAGTTGCACGAAATGACACCTGAATGAATTCCCCTGCAGATTTTTGAGCAGTCATAACTTATCATCAGATGCACTACAATGTTGGCCATACAGAAGAACTGACATTAAAGGAATGTTTTTGATAAACAACATGATAACATTATAAAAGAAATAATGGACCAGAATAATTTAAAGGAAATAAAACAGCTCAAATGAAGTGAATTATTAAGGAAAAAGGGAGAGACTGTTCTTGCATGTATAGCATGGCTATCTCTGATCAATTGTCCTTTGTATTCACTTTGTCACAAGAAATAGTCTTGGATGAGAGAGTGAGCAGAAGACTAGTATTAAATTTCAAATCCTTTAAATGGAAACGGAAAAGAATAATCCCTGAATGAGAATTATCCACATAATAGTGTGTGGATTCTTATTTTAAGATATGAAATTATTGTGACATATTGTACTCATAAAGCGTGTATCACATGGCACAGCCTGAACAGTATTTATGTTGATTTTGTTGTTTCTTTTATCCTAACTGTAGTTAAAGACCATATGTATTGTATGCTGTTTTTATTGTTACATGGTTTTGTACAGTTTGCTAGATATGGAGAGTCATAAATTCACGCCATGCAGAGTCATGAATTTGCAATGGGAAGTTATATGATTTGAAATAATTGAATATAATTTGAAGAATCCATTACAGGAAAACATAGTGACATTATGAGATCCCTAAGATTGTGACTAGTCACTATGTAAGACTAGTCACTA